GTCGACGTCGCCCCCCACTGATGCAGGTCCACGTTCGTCCGGCACAGCAGATGCGATTCACACGGTGCCCACTGTCACTGATGCAGCTCCACGTTCGCCTGGCGCAGCATATGGGACTGACATGGCGCCCACCATCGCTCCATCAACTCCAGCGCCTGCTTCGAATGCACCCTCGCGGCCAAACTCACCCATCGCAGCGAAACAGCAATCAGTGGTGGCCACCGCCACTGCTGGAGTTGCACCTGCTGCCCCTTCAAGTCCCACAGCGCCCAACACCGAAGGAGTAGAACTCGCGCCAGTTGAGGTTGGCCCAGGTTCTCCACTTACCGCCATTGGATCTCGCCCCGCTTCCCCACTAAGTGGAGATGAACGAACCACGTCTACTGGGCGCAAAAGGAAGGCTGATGAAGAGGTCAACGCGGACATCACCAGGAAGAAACCGGCCAGCAATCGGAAGAAGGGCCCACCGAGTGCACCTCAGCGCAGACAACCTACGCGTGGTAAGGCTCCCGATAGCGTCAATCCGGCGACAGCAGGCCAGTCGAGCAAACCGGACACCATCATCGAGGAGGACTTATAAATAAAATTCGCATGGCCATACATATCTTGAAATACCCTACAGTAGCTAGGGTATAATAAATTTTTTGATGCAGTTATTCTTTGGCACGCATATGCTTTGGCGCTCTTTCAGTTCAACTGACACATTTTGGGGCGCTGGCAAATTGAGGTTACTTGGGGCGCAAACAAATTGAGGTTCCTACGCGTTGGCGCTCTTACATGACAGGGTTTTGGAACAGCTTGGAACCCAAACCTTGTATTCGCAGATGTAACATGTAGCTAGGTTGACTCAGGCGCCGGTGCGAAAACAGGTGTGGCACCTGAATCAAAGAAAGACTCAAAAGTGTGCAACGTTGAATCACTCCTTCCACCACTCTCCATGCCGTCGTCAATGACGCCCATGAAACTCTCTTTGACTTCAGTACAAGTCCAACCTCATATCCCAGGATCTTGATTGTCTTCATTACCTGAGCCACATTTGTGTGGAAATTCCATTATCCATTCATTGAACCTGTTGGGCCCACCCATTTGAAACGAAGACTTTGTAGGGCCCACGCATTGAATTGAAGACAGTAAGTACTGCCAGATATGTCGCCCACCTGATGGCACAACAACGGCTTTGGCGCAAAGCTCGTCGCCTATATTTGGCGGGCGAGCACCAGTTGGGCCCAGCCATCACTAATGGACAATTTGTCGATGGGCATGGGTCCGCAGTGAAGTCATTTCGAATGAGCGCGCCCATTAATGGCAGGCGCGAGCGCCCATTATTGGCAGGCGCGCACCTGTTCGGCCCAGCCATCACTATGGAGGATATGTTGATAGGTGGGCCAAGTCCGCTGGCCCCATATGGTATGAGGTATTTCAGGTT